CTCTCTCTCTCTCTCTCTCTCTCTCTCTCTCTCTCTCTCTCTCTCTCTCTCTCTCTCTCTCGTCGGGATCTTCTTGTTGCAGGTGCACGGCGTCTTCTTCCACCTCGAGGTCCGCTATGGCGGACTGCCTCCTCCGGCAGTCACTTCAGCTATGGCCCATCGGCCCTGCACACATCGCAAGCGTGGAACAGCGGGTACCTGCTCCGATACCAGTGCAATCAGACTCGGATCATTCACACTTGTCTTGCATGCAAACAGCGATACAGCAACTGGCGACATGCGCCCACACAGTACTCAAAGATATCGTAACCGGATAAGAGTTCTCTTCAACTGGCTATGGCGGCTCTGCGCCCACACAACTCACTGTTCGCAYGCTGGATCACCCTGGATGTCCCACACGCAACACTCAGTGTYCATACGCAGCACACACACACACTGTACTACAGCTATGGCAGCGCTAGCTGCCACTACCCTATCGCTATACTACACTTCACTGCCCACTTCGACTTCGGGCGCACTGCAGACCTCCTCGCACAAGCTGCTGAGGCAGCGCTTCCGCATGGCATCCGCAGGAATGAATGAATGGCTGGACGCAGCCTCTTGATTTATACTTCTGTGCGGCGTTGGTCTGCCCTGTATCCCTTGGCCCACGATGTGCACAGTCCCAGACGGTACTTGCTTGACTGGACMGKACTGGGCTACCTGGGACTGCTGACTCTGCGTAGTGGACCTATACCACTTGCCCACTTGCCTCGGCCTAAACAGGGGCTGACTCCGAAAGGCCAGTTCTAGAAACCTCTACTTGGCCTTTCGGTACTGTAGCAGCTACGACTTTGCCCTTTCAGGTAAGTAGCAGCTACGACCTTGACCCTTCAGACATCCTACAGCTACGACTTCGGAACTGTCTAGACTCCTACCCTACAAGTCTACAGTTCGATTCCCTTCTAAGTTGTGACCTACGAAAACCTGCCTACCACTGGCGGTCCTACAGGTCGCAGGTTCAAGTCTACGGGTTGACACTGATACTATACACAGGTAAGACGGGGAACTAGGGATCGATCCCTGGGATCTGCATTCGCTACTGCGAACTGGTGAATACCGTTTCACTTCTATTACAATGCTGTCTATCCTGTCCTCCAGAATTCACACCTAATTCGATAGGATTAACCTTCATCCTTTTTTCTCCCAACACCGTGAACGAAATTAATCCGGGTGTTTTTGTTTAAAAGTTATACGAATTTCTTTATCATATGTGAGGATTGAGCCCTCAAGTAGGGGCCTTGCCATGATGTACATGTTCTGGGCTAAGGCCCCGGCAAGCCTCGTGCCCGCCCTAAGTGAAGGCGGGCCAGGAAATCAACAAGAGTCCTCTGTGCCAACATTTGACGAAGTGGGGTCCATACAGTTGCAGCACGCCAGTTGGTTGGAGTGCACCGAGTCTCGGATTTCAGCAAATGCTGAAAGCCCAGGGCCTCTGAGTTAGTTAGGTCCTGGGCACTCGAACGAGAGGCCGAGAATGCATGCTGGGTATATAGGCCGAAAATGCCAAAGGGAAATCGGCCCAGTATCTGAATCTGGCCGCAGGCCTCGATGAAGGAGGCGCAACTGTATTGCCCCGGGGCCCAACTGTATCGGGCTGGTTTCAGCCTCTGGGGCCCAGTCGCAGGCTGAAGGGAGGCCGCCCACACGCAGCACAGGCATATAGGCAAGCAGGGCGAGTGGGCAGGGACTTCGGCCAATGCAGGCATTGCGGGCACGCTGCGCGAGTGCATGTGTGCTGCGCTGTGCAAGAGCTGCGCTGCGCTGGGGTGAAGCAGGCTAGCGCTAGGCGGTAGGGCGCTGCCTGCATGCAAAGCACTGGCGGCCATAGCCGGGCCGCATGAGGGTGCAGGAGAGGTGAAGGGTGAAGGTGGTCTTCGGAGGTGAAGGGGGCTGTGTGGGTACAAGGGAGAGTGTGGGTGAAGAGGATATGTACCAGGTGGAGATAGGGTGCCTGGCGCCATTCACAAGAGAGAGCTACATTTGGGTTATGCTGTTGGTGTTGCCCTGTTGGGCATGGACATTGACTCACGATTCTTCTGTATCATTCTCAATTGGATGGTTACTCGGTTCCATTGTGCTATCTGCTTTGGCTTTGACTACTTGGACTTCAGTGTGGTTTTGCATTCTGGATTTCTGTGCTTCGTCCATATTCATGTTCCTTGCACATATTAAATTCTTTTTGTTATTTATTTTTAAAATTCAATTCCTTTTCAGAATTTTGTCACATAATTTTTGGAATTCACGATATTTAATTCTTCGGAAGTCGAATCAATTTTTGTTTTCTGTTCCCCGTAAAATTCCAAAATTTCGCAATTCTTTTGAAATTCCTTTGAAATTCTTCTGAAATTTATTTGAAATTTCCTTCAACTCTATGCAATAACCCATGACATATGTCTCGTGGAATATCTGAGGGCCTACTTGGCCACCCTCAACCCACGCCAAAACTAGGGAAAAAAGACCCCACACCAGGAAGTTCAAAGGTACCCAGCCCAGGCCGCCGGTCAAACACACGCAACTGTTTGTATGAAGGTACCCAGACAGCATCAGGTCCAAGGGGAAGTCTGCAACTGTATTCAATCGGGGCCCTCGGTTGTGAGACAATCTGGACGACTGAGGGAACAGGTCTCGAGGACAGACAACCTCGTCAAATGCTACTTAAAGGCTGGCCTCGAGGTGGTCAAGATTCAGTCTTGCTATGCTGCTTGGACACTGGCTTGACTTCGACCAGATGCTGGCATTAACGCTGGCACGACGTTGGCGAGACGCTGGCTGGACGCTGGCTGTGCGCAAGCACTGTGGACGATGACGCGGATTGTCATGGCATGCGGATGTGACGCTGCCTATGATCTACATTGCATGCTGATGTGGCGCTGCCTATCGTCTATATTGCATGCTGATGTGGCGCTGCCTTTGGTCTACATGGCATGTTGATGTAGCGCTGCCTTTGGTCTTCATGGCATGCTGATGTGGTGTTGCCTATGGTCTACATTGCATGTTGATGTGGCGCTGCCTATGGTCTACATCGCATGCTGATGTGACACTGCCTATGATCTTCATTGATGATGTGGTGCATGCCACCTGTCTCGACTGCTGACGTGACATTGTCCACGCTGTCTACATGAGGTGACTGGTTGCGAGTAGGAGGGAGATCGTGATCTGTGGATGATTGGGTTCGGGTACTCACCTGAGGTTGACGTCGTCACGGTATTCTGCTGTGTCTTCATGGTCTTCACGAGTTAAGAGCGCCACACATGAAACTATTGTGTGATCAGGATTATTATACTTGTTATCATATACTGGTTGATGACGTGGAGAGGGAAGAAGCCGAGAGAAGAAGTGGGGTTTGATGGGATCTCTTCCACCTTCTCCTCTATCTATTCCCCCTCCGCTCTCTTCGTCTAATGGTAATGAGATACTGTTTCAGATATCACTTCCGTGGTGCATGATGATTGATGAGTATCTGCCAGACTGGGTTCATTACAATTTGGTATCAGAGCAAACTCCTTCATCGCAATTTGTTGTTTGTTGTCAAGTGCTGATGTGGCAAGCAGGTAAGTGGGAGGTGTCGCATGTGCAAAACGAAACACGTTTATTAACGCACGCGGTAAATACTGCAAGTCTAGACATTGTAGTATTGCACGTGCGAACAGTTGTCCCATGAAGATGATGACGTG